ATACAATAAGACAAAAAATCACTGTGAGTAGAAACTCATTTAAAACATACTTTAGACTTCAGCATATCCAACTCCTCCTGCAGTCTTCTGCATTCATCCTCAAGCTCAAGTCTCAGAGCTCTTAACTGAGCTTCATGCTCATTCCTCATCGAACTTGTTTTCTGAGAAATATCACACCTCAGCGACTAAGGCAATATACATGCAGAATAATGAGCTAAGACACAAAAACAAAGCTGAAGAAAGGTTACTTCTCTCAGTTCATTTTCATACTGAAGTCGGACACGTTTTAGCTCTTCATTGTGACTGGAAACAAGACTCATTTCCTTCTTGCTGTGCTCTTGTTGAATATTACATACCTGCGGCAAAATGCTTCAGCTATAGGCTAAATGAAGTCTATTTTCAACATATTCATACACTTCTGTCTTTGAAGCCCAAGAAGTGCTGGGTGTCTTATCAGAATTACCTAGTAAAGCAAGCAGAGGTTTTTATGTTTCTTTGGCAGCATACTTAGCCTAACTGGCTGTCCGGACTCCAGATACATGGTGGGCAAAATAGAATCCATTAGATCTGACAAACGGGATAAGTACAATAATTTTTTAATGTGTTAAACGACCAAACTACTATAACTGATGATAAGTTAATAATAGCCAACATGTTCTTAAAGATATTAACAGTCTAGCATGAGAAAAGGGTATTTAGGAAATTAAATAGAGTTGAAGTTTGGGAAAATGCTTCCTTGAAGGTAGCTTCTACATAAGCGTGAAAAATCACATTTTAGTTGCCACTCGCAATCTTGATTCCAGTAGGCAAACTACTCATAAAATTACGTTTGAACCTCAAGTATCATTTCAAACCTTGAAATTTGTTCCTAAGAAGATCTAAGCAAGATCCTAAATTCATTTTCGTAGAGAAGCATGACAACACAATAATTCTAATAAATGAACACAAAATATTTACATGAGGATCATCATGCTCAAGAGTTTCCCTACAACCTTAACAAATAAGTGTGAGAATCATGAAAGAGTATTGAACTTCATGCAACTGAAACACTAATATCTGACAGGAGTCAAACTAGAAGACACAAAAGATAAAACTGAACTGTGTGCAAAAGAATAACTTTGAAAGAAGGGATACAGTAGAATAATTAGACTGTTAATCTTGGAATTTATTAGAAAATATAGGTGTTTTCATGACCTTAAGAAGCAAATGATAATTGTACATCCTTTACCATACATACCAAAGCAGCATGTTCTTCCTGTACATGCTTCAAGTTCTGATTAGATTCTTCTCTGCATTCCAACAGCTTTAACTCACAGTTTCTTTCCATCTCTCCAACAATTTTTTCAGCCTGAGATTAATAAATGAAGTGAAAGGCGAAGATATATTTCCAGTCAAAATATGCTTCAACATAAGAATCAATAGCTACCTTCTCCTTCTCTAGATTGATACTTTCCAACTTCTCCAAGTCATACTTCCTCCGGATGTCACTGATGGCCTGAGAAAGATCCTACGAGTGTAACTTGTTGGATAGGAGCAAACATACACAGAAACACCAGGCAGAATATTTTAAGAATAACCTGATCATTTTTCTGAGATAACTCCTTTAAATGCCTAGAAAGTTCTGGTTGTTTGCTTTCTAACATCTGATCGTGCTGCCTTTTAGCTTCTGCAAGGTTGCTTTCAGCAGCAAGCAAAGATGCTTGAATCTGCAATAAGGTACAAAACACAACGCATTTAAACACACTGTATTGGATTTAATAGGATCTATAAAACTAAAAGTATCCATAGAAAAAACCTTTTCTCTCTCAGCTTCCAATTGTTTCTGCCTGTCCTGAAGTTCCTGAACAAGCTTATCTTTCTCCTCCAATTTATTGTTAATCTCTGCAACATGCTTTTCCAGTGATTCCACTGTTTCTGTATACTTGTCAATTTCCTTGCGTAAAAGATGGATTTCATCTTCCTTTTTCTGCATGTCTGATTGAAGCTTTTCAATATGGTCCTTGTTTTCTGTTTCCATCTCAGAGAGTTTCACCAATAAATTTTGCTGCAAGATATGAAAATTGATCTTGTTATGTTTAATCAGATACTGTTACTAATGAATGCTCTGTGAGAAGAATTAACCATTTCATTCTCCGATAGTTTTGAACTTTCTGATAAAGCGACAACATTCTCCTGCAGCTTGCTAATCAGCACTTCCATCTCCATCTTCTTGGAAAGAAGCAGTTCTGCTTCAGACTCTAATTTTCTAATCCGATCTTCTGCTAAACGGGATTCTTCAGCATGCTGCACCATTGCACGTTCTTGCTCGTTCTGAAGTGCAGAGACTTTGTCCTTCAAGTCCTTATTAGCTAGCTCTAGAGAATTTTTCTTTGATGTAACGCTTGTATATTGATCCTGGAGCTTGTCAAACTTTCGTTGAGCATGCCGAGCAGCAAGTTCCCCCTTCTCTCTCATCATTTCAAATCCAGCGTCAAATAAAGCATTAAGCTGAACTATCTTCTCCGCAAAGACGAGACTTTGACTATCCAAATGAGTAAACTTTATCACCATTTCATTCACAAACTCATTAAGGTTCTTTATCTCCTGATGTGATGTATCTAATTGTTTAGCAAAGTTGCTATTTCTAGATACCAAATCACTTCTTTCTTTCTCCAAATTCTTTTTGACATTCCTCAAGTCCTCCAGTTCATCTTCTTTTAATCTTGATTCGAGATGTAACTCTTCCAACTTGGACTTCAAATTCTCCACTGCAAGTCCATTAGCTGCTACAGTAGCTTCAAATTCCTTGATCGTGGCATCTTATAAAAAAAATAAGAGAAAGAAACAAGTAAATAAAGGGAGAAAAGTATTTAGAACTGAGAAAGTTACCAAGAGATAATTATCACAAAAAGTAGAGATGTTAAGATCTGTGTCAGTAGTAGGACATCTCTGCGCAGACTGAAGCATAACATGAAAAATTTCTCTTTCTGATTAACAAGACAAATGTCCTTAAAGAGCACTAATACCTCTTTAGGAGACACCAAGTCTGTGAAAAGTTTTATAGTTAAAAGAATGTTAAAGGACACAATATGAATTCAATGGATGGAGAAGAACTTGAAATGACAGACGGCTTCAAGAGAATTGTCAAATGCAACTGTTTCCCAAAGACAGTGAACAGTTTCAGTTACAGCGTAACATAAAAAAAGAGATGTTATATCTCAAACAAGACTTGAATTCCCCCCTAGGTTCATAGAGGAGAAAATATGGGCTTTGGTATAGCTATAGACCAATCTACGAGCTTTCTTATGTAGTTAAGAGCAGTCACACATAGATCATTCACAAACAAATTAACCATGTAATAAAAGTGAAATAGAATGTGGACTGCTTAAGTCCATATTGAACCAACCAAAGGGACAGGCACTTAAAAGACAACAGAATTAACATAAATAAATAAAAAAAGAAGAGGGGATTAGTTAGTTGACGCAGACAGTAGAGCCATTTTCTGGACGCAACATCTGCTATTTATCGAAAGTTGAGGTGCAAGCACAAAAGCTCTTAGATCATAGCTATTTACCTTTCTCCTCAATTACACTGATACTTTTGCTCTGTTCAACCCTGAAAGAGTTCTCCATTTTCTCCTTCTCGATACCGAGTTCATTCAGCTCCCTTTCACCTTTATTGACAACCCAAAAAACATGTTAGGCAACTTTAAACATTAGTATCTAAGAAGCATAAACCTCTAGTTATTCAGCAGCATATATGGTATCTAACTACTTAGAAGCCCTCAATTGGTGATAAAAATATATTGCATAACAAGGCATTATTAACTTACAATTTCTAACAGTTTCTTCAGAGGATTCCAGCCTCAAAGAGAGGGCTTTCATGTTGTCCTGCAAGTTATCAATAACAACAGAAGTTGCAGATCGTCTATCTTCAAAAGATGCCTTGTCTTTTTCAGCTGTAGAGTCAAGTGCACAATCCAAAAATATTAAAACAATTAAAAAGCCAGAGAGGATTGTTCTATCTGCTTTGCACCGGGATATTCTTTAAAGGAAAGTTACGGTAACATACCATCCTGAACTACACCAGCTAGGTGCTGTAAAGTTTCAGTTAGCTGATCACACAAGGTCTTTGTTGAAGAAAATTTAGATTCCAGTCCTTTCCAAAGCTTCTCGTCTTCTTTCTGCTTCACTTTCAACTTAGCATTTTCATTGTACGCATTTTTGCAACTTTTCTTCCAGCATATGAATATCTTCAATTCAACTTCTTCAATTTAGAGTTCTGTCAATCAATTATGTAGACGCACAGTTATAAAACAAGTGAAATTACAAGTCATTAGGCCTCAAAATTCAAGCATAAAACTAATCCTAANAAACTTCAGTGGACAACAAGATACAGATTAGAAGATACAAGTTAGAACCATTATAACACAAATATACTTCTGTAGATGTAGTGTTACCTAATAAGGAAGAGAACATAATCTGTTTGTATAAAAATTGAAACTGATCAATCAGCAGATTTATATGCTAGTGTTTCAACTGCAATAACTTCCTACAGCTATGTGGTGGTTGATTACTGACAATTTGATAGTTCATTAATTACAGTACGATATGCTTTGATAATCAAATTTAAATCCCCCACAACCAATCCAGACGTGGGAAAATATGCAATGCTCCTAATGCCGACCCTATGTCTGCGTCCAGGAGAGAGCACCACTACAATGAGGAACACACAGAGCAGCCCACTGCTCACCCTTAATGATACTCATATGAAATTCATCATATGGAATTGTAGAGGAGCCCAGTCTGCAGATTTTAGACGTNATGAAAATAGGGGAGGAAAGTCATCTGATTCTGATGTTTCATTTGAAATTAGTGTTAGGAGACCCGGGATTTTCATTTTGTGTTAGGAGATGGGTGGCAGTGGTGGCTTTGTGCTTACAAGTCTTTACCAATCTAATGGAATCTCCACTCGGCCTAAATATCCCCACAATCAAAGATTAAGTACAAGAAAAGCTAAGCTAATGCAGTTTGGAAGCACATAACAAAAATATATGTAGTTCTACGCAACTGGTGACTTTACACTGGTGCACGTCCTCTCCAACCGGGCTCTAATCACATTATTTCCCCCAGAATTTTTTCACTCATTAATTGCAGTTATATACAGTCTTTTATTTTTGGGGGAAGTAAACTTCTAGTTCCTTGCAATGTGGAAAGCAGCCAGCTATAAGTCTGCAATCAAAGAATCAGCACACACACATTTCCAGTTCAAAGTTTCAGATTCTCTAGGAAGCTCTGCATCTTCACCTGAGAAAGGATAAAATTAATATTTAAGACTTTTGCCAGATAAGCTATTCCAGTGAGAAACCAAAATAAGGATGCGAGGCATTTGGCTAAACGCCAAGGAAATACAGATGTACTATAAGATATAACGACAGAAATGAATCAGAACGGAAAATGTACACCATCTCTCCTGATAAAGTTGCAAAAATACAAAACCTGATCACTCTTCTATTTTTTGCTTCTGACAAGTTATAAAAAATGTCCCCTGAAAAGTGTGTGCTAAATCAATTGCGATATATTTTGGGTGGGTTGGGGTCGGGGGGGGGGGGGTTGAGATCATTTAATGCATGGGAGCTGATTGATAATGTCTCAACATTTATGAGAGGAAGAGAGTATACTGTTACTTTTGAAAGGTTTGTGCAATCAGAATGAAATAACACTTCATTTTTGTTTCTAAAAAGTGCAAGAAAATGTTTGCCCAAAACTCTGTGCTCGCTCGCTAGTTGTATCTTTACATAGACAAAATATTTAATGCATTGGAACATACTGAAAGTGTAACAGCACAGCATGACAAGAAGAACAATAAAGTCCTTTTCTTGAGGTTTCTGCATCAGAATAAATAGTAGTACCACTAGCCAAATGCATAGGGATCATCAGCATATGGATTCAGAGATCCTTCCGAGAATAAATCACCTATGTTTGCAGGTTTCGGATGACCTCCTCCTTTAATGCTCTGCAAAACATATACGAATAGTAGAAAAAGCTGAGCATATTAGAAATGGAGATTTCTCTGTCAGTCATTACTCTTTTAGCTAGTTAAGCTCTTGAAGCACCACTAAGGAGACGTGCCCGATTCTTAGATCAAGCCACAAAGGACCATTAATGGAAAGTGAAGACAAACAAGTCAAATAATGATTCATATCCTGATAACCTCTCTGCGAGTCTTGAATTTTGGTGTCTCTTTATGATTGTGCTTAAATGGATTATTTAAATATAAAGGTTAGTCATCTCAGCATTGACATGACAACAGGGTAGTAACTCTGATATATTGGAATCTGGTAGCAACGGCAGGTGAACACAAAGCGAGTCAATGAATGAGTCATACCCTGATAACCTCTCTGGGAGTCTTCACTTTTGGTGTCCTTTTCTTCTTGTTCTTTGATGGGTCCTTTCAAGATACAGTAATATAAAGGTTAGGCTCATCGCATACATTGGCGGGCCAGAAGTCTAGAAACTGACAGATTGAATCTGGTAAAAATGGCCAACAATGCTGCTAAGGATTCAATTTTACGTACATCAAACATGACTGTGCTTTTCGTTTTTCTTCGTTTTGTGATTGTTCTGCCATTTGTGGTTTCAACTTCATATTCATGATGGGTCACCTGCAATTTACGAAGCGATCAAGAAAAATAAGTGAGATAGGACACAAAGACCAATTTAGGTGTCGGTGATGATCAACTGAAAAGGCTAAATGCAGAAATAACCATGCAGATCTTAAGAAGGTATGTTCACCAAAGGGGATGAAATCAGAGCATAAGCAAGATGCTGAAAATCAGTTATCTAATGCAAAAATAATCCCTAATAAATCTGGTTGCATGCACTGTGATAAGGCATCATCTAACTTATTCTACAGCAATAACTGCTACTTATTCTCAAAACTAATTTTGCAGAAAGCTAATTAAGCGGAACCGTTTGGATTACAGATAATTGCAGTTAGCCACTCACCTTCCTACTATGTTTGGGCATACTAATAACACTTCCTGTATTCACCTTCTCCACTTTCCTCAACAAATTTGATACAGGCGTTTGACTTCCTTCCAGATAATGTGCATCCTACCAAACCGTTGAGATATAAGCTAAGATCAGCAAGCTAGACAGAAATATTGAAAGGCAACCAGAATAATATTTTGCTTTGCACGTTTACCACATCCTTAGCTTCATCTCTCACCGGTGCAAGCTGGCCCCTTTTGCAACTATCAGATTGGTTTCTTTTGGTCAATGACCCAGAGTGCTTCTGCAGATTTCACAAATGTTCAGCACTAATAGTTGAAAGTTAGATTTATTTACCAAGTTGGCTGTACTTAACGTGTTCAAAATCCCCTCAAGTAAGCAATCAAATTAATCCTTCCACATCTCTTTCAGTTTCAGATCAGAAATATATAGCCAGTCATATCCAAAAGATCTCAGGTAGACAAATAAAACTTGTACTTAAAACTTCAGTGGACAACAAGATACAGATTAGAAGATACAAGTTGAACCATTATAACACAAATATACTTCTGTAGATGTAGTGTTACCTAATAAGGAAGAGAACATAATCTGTTTGTATATAAATTGAAACTGATCAATCAGCAGATTTATATGCTAGTGTTTCAACTGCAATAACTTCCTACAGCTATGTGGTGGTTGATTACTGACAATTTGATAGTTCATTAATTACAGTACGATATGCTTTGATAATCAAATTTAAATCCTCAGGAAGTTCTATTAAATCAGAAAGGATCCACTAAACTTTGTAATGATTGCTGACAGCAACTGGGTGAAAGGTGGCCAATGTTAAATCTTAAAAAAAAAATATTTCTAAAAACAATCAAACAGAACCTCCTTCTAACCAGAGAGAATAGGCATCTTTTTTCCCTCTCGTGGCCGGCGGCGGTCAATGCATCTAAAGAATAAAGAGTCAAACCTTCTTTGAAGTCACTTCTTCCTCTTCCGGATTATTTCCCATTACTTTCCATTGCAACTGCAACAGAGCCCTCTGTTTCTCCTCCTGAGATAAGACACGAATACAATAAGACAAAAAATCACTGTGAGTAGAAACTCATTTAAAACATACTTTAGACTTCAGCATATCCAACTCCTCCTGCAGTCTTCTGCATTCATCCTCAAGCTCAAGTCTCAGAGCTCTTAACTGAGCTTCATGCTCATTCCTCATCGAACTTGTTTTCTGAGAAATATCACACCTCAGCGACTAAGGCAATATACATGCAGAATAATGAGCTAAGACACAAAAACAAAGCTGAAGAAAGGTTACTTCTCTCAGTTCATTTTCATACTGAAGTCGGACACGTTTTAGCTCTTCATTGTGACTGGAAACAAGACTCATTTCCTTCTTGCTGTGCTCTTGTTGAATATTACATACCTGCGGCAAAATGCTTCAGCTATAGGCTAAATGAAGTCTATTTTCAACATATTCATACACTTCTGTCTTTGAAGCCCAAGAAGTGCTGGGTGTCTTATCAGAATTACCTAGTAAAGCAAGCAGAGGTTTTTATGTTTCTTTGGCAGCATACTTAGCCTAACTGGCTGTCCGGACTCCAGATACATGGTGGGCAAAATAGAATCCATTAGATCTGACAAACGGGATAAGTACAATAATTTTTTAATGTGTTAAACGACCAAACTACTATAACTGATGATAAGTTAATAATAGCCAACATGTTCTTAAAGATATTAACAGTCTAGCATGAGAAAAGGGTATTTAGGAAATTAAATAGAGTTGAAGTTTGGGAAAATGCTTCCTTGAAGGTAGCTTCTACATAAGCGTGAAAAATCACATTTTAGTTGCCACTCGCAATCTTGATTCCAGTAGGCAAACTACTCATAAAATTACGTTTGAACCTCAAGTATCATTTCAAACCTTGAAATTTGTTCCTAAGAAGATCTAAGCAAGATCCTAAATTCATTTTCGTAGAGAAGCATGACAACACAATAATTCTAATAAATGAACACAAAATATTTACATGAGGATCATCATGCTCAAGAGTTTCCCTACAACCTTAACAAATAAGTGTGAGAATCATGAAAGAGTATTGAACTTCATGCAACTGAAACACTAATATCTGACAGGAGTCAAACTAGAAGACACAAAAGATAAAACTGAACTGTGTGCAAAAGAATAACTTTGAAAGAAGGGATACAGTAGAATAATTAGACTGTTAATCTTGGAATTTATTAGAAAATATAGGTGTTTTCATGACCTTAAGAAGCAAATGATAATTGTACATCCTTTACCATACATACCAAAGCAGCATGTTCTTCCTGTACATGCTTCAAGTTCTGATTAGATTCTTCTCTGCATTCCAACAGCTTTAACTCACAGTTTCTTTCCATCTCTCCAACAATTTTTTCAGCCTGAGATTAATAAATGAAGTGAAAGGCGAAGATATATTTCCAGTCAAAATATGCTTCAACATAAGAATCAATAGCTACCTTCTCCTTCTCTAGATTGATACTTTCCAACTTCTCCAAGTCATACTTCCTCCGGATGTCACTGATGGCCTGAGAAAGATCCTACGAGTGTAACTTGTTGGATAGGAGCAAACATACACAGAAACACCAGGCAGAATATTTTAAGAATAACCTGATCATTTTTCTGAGATAACTCCTTTAAATGCCTAGAAAGTTCTGGTTGTTTGCTTTCTAACATCTGATCGTGCTGCCTTTTAGCTTCTGCAAGGTTGCTTTCAGCAGCAAGCAAAGATGCTTGAATCTGCAATAAGGTACAAAACACAACGCATTTAAACACACTGTATTGGATTTAATAGGATCTATAAAACTAAAAGTATCCATAGAAAAAACCTTTTCTCTCTCAGCTTCCAATTGTTTCTGCCTGTCCTGAAGTTCCTGAACAAGCTTATCTTTCTCCTCCAATTTATTGTTAATCTCTGCAACATGCTTTTCCAGTGATTCCACTGTTTCTGTATACTTGTCAATTTCCTTGCGTAAAAGATGGATTTCATCTTCCTTTTTCTGCATGTCTGATTGAAGCTTTTCAATATGGTCCTTGTTTTCTGTTTCCATCTCAGAGAGTTTCACCAATAAATTTTGCTGCAAGATATGAAAATTGATCTTGTTATGTTTAATCAGATACTGTTACTAATGAATGCTCTGTGAGAAGAATTAACCATTTCATTCTCCGATAGTTTTGAACTTTCTGATAAAGCGACAACATTCTCCTGCAGCTTGCTAATCAGCACTTCCATCTCCATCTTCTTGGAAAGAAGCAGTTCTGCTTCAGACTCTAATTTTCTAATCCGATCTTCTGCTAAACGGGATTCTTCAGCATGCTGCACCATTGCACGTTCTTGCTCGTTCTGAAGTGCAGAGACTTTGTCCTTCAAGTCCTTATTAGCTAGCTCTAGAGAATTTTTCTTTGATGTAACGCTTGTATATTGATCCTGGAGCTTGTCAAACTTTCGTTGAGCATGCCGAGCAGCAAGTTCCCCCTTCTCTCTCATCATTTCAAATCCAGCGTCAAATAAAGCATTAAGCTGAACTATCTTCTCCGCAAAGACGAGACTTTGACTATCCAAATGAGTAAACTTTATCACCATTTCATTCACAAACTCATTAAGGTTCTTTATCTCCTGATGTGATGTATCTAATTGTTTAGCAAAGTTGCTATTTCTAGATACCAAATCACTTCTTTCTTTCTCCAAATTCTTTTTGACATTCCTCAAGTCCTCCAGTTCATCTTCTTTTAATCTTGATTCGAGATGTAACTCTTCCAACTTGGACTTCAAATTCTCCACTGCAAGTCCATTAGCTGCTACAGTAGCTTCAAATTCCTTGATCGTGGCATCTTATAAAAAAAATAAGAGAAAGAAACAAGTAAATAAAGGGAGAAAAGTATTTAGAACTGAGAAAGTTACCAAGAGATAATTATCACAAAAAGTAGAGATGTTAAGATCTGTGTCAGTAGTAGGACATCTCTGCGCAGACTGAAGCATAACATGAAAAATTTCTCTTTCTGATTAACAAGACAAATGTCCTTAAAGAGCACTAATACCTCTTTAGGAGACACCAAGTCTGTGAAAAGTTTTATAGTTAAAAGAATGTTAAAGGACACAATATGAATTCAATGGATGGAGAAGAACTTGAAATGACAGACGGCTTCAAGAGAATTGTCAAATGCAACTGTTTCCCAAAGACAGTGAACAGTTTCAGTTACAGCGTAACATAAAAAAAGAGATGTTATATCTCAAACAAGACTTGAATTCCCCCCTAGGTTCATAGAGGAGAAAATATGGGCTTTGGTATAGCTATAGACCAATCTACGAGCTTTCTTATGTAGTTAAGAGCAGTCACACATAGATCATTCACAAACAAATTAACCATGTAATAAAAGTGAAATAGAATGTGGACTGCTTAAGTCCATATTGAACCAACCAAAGGGACAGGCACTTAAAAGACAACAGAATTAACATAAATAAATAAAAAAAGAAGAGGGGATTAGTTAGTTGACGCAGACAGTAGAGCCATTTTCTGGACGCAACATCTGCTATTTATCGAAAGTTGAGGTGCAAGCACAAAAGCTCTTAGATCATAGCTATTTACCTTTCTCCTCAATTACACTGATACTTTTGCTCTGTTCAACCCTGAAAGAGTTCTCCATTTTCTCCTTCTCGATACCGAGTTCATTCAGCTCCCTTTCACCTTTATTGACAACCCAAAAAACATGTTAGGCAACTTTAAACATTAGTATCTAAGAAGCATAAACCTCTAGTTATTCAGCAGCATATATGGTATCTAACTACTTAGAAGCCCTCAATTGGTGATAAAAATATATTGCATAACAAGGCATTATTAACTTACAATTTCTAACAGTTTCTTCAGAGGATTCCAGCCTCAAAGAGAGGGCTTTCATGTTGTCCTGCAAGTTATCAATAACAACAGAAGTTGCAGATCGTCTATCTTCAAAAGATGCCTTGTCTTTTTCAGCTGTAGAGTCAAGTGCACAATCCAAAAATATTAAAACAATTAAAAAGCCAGAGAGGATTGTTCTATCTGCTTTGCACCGGGATATTCTTTAAAGGAAAGTTACGGTAACATACCATCCTGAACTACACCAGCTAGGTGCTGTAAAGTTTCAGTTAGCTGATCACACAAGGTCTTTGTTGAAGAAAATTTAGATTCCAGTCCTTTCCAAAGCTTCTCGTCTTCTTTCTGCTTCACTTTCAACTTAGCATTTTCATTGTACGCATTTTGCAACTTTTCTTCCAGCATATGAATATCTTCAATCAACTTCTTCAATTTAGAGTTCTGCAATCAATTATGAGACGCACAGTTATAAAACAAGTGAAATTACAAGTCATTAGGCCTCAAAATTCAAGCATAAAACTTAAATCCTAATAGCAATTATATTATTAATAGAAGCCTTTGTATGTTCTGTATAAGCCTACACCTGACAGCTGTATCTGTGGGAACCAACACATGCCACACGCATAGAAAGATGCACTCATGCAAGCGTACACATACACACGCACTCACACACAAAAACCCGTGCATTGGTGTACAAATATGGAACATTTCAACGAAATTACCGCCAATTGCAGATCAGTTTTAGCAGAAGCTTGCTCCTTCACCAATTTCTCTGTTGACGATAGAAACAAACGAGCAATTTATTTAAGAAGTAGTATACATTTTTTCAGAAAATTTAGAAAACTAATGCATTAATCAACTAATAACCTGCTGTCAGCTTCAAATTCGCAAAACTTCCAGAAGAAACCATGTCAGCGGACATGCGCGTCGTTATCGGCATGGCTTTCGCAGCTCCTAAACCAACTCCGGCCAGCGATTTGAAGTTATCCCGGCCTTTCATGCCTGATAATCCTAAAAGCTTACTCATTTTCTAAAAAACGCAAATAATCGCCGAATTCCCCTATATACACGAAATAGGAATCCTATTACGTTGATTTTTGTGGCCTAATCGATCACAAAGCAAGGATGTAAAACCCTAAAAATCGAAAAAATCCAAGCGATCGGTTCTGTGAACTTAGCTTTTCGTTTTCGTGTTGAGTAAGAAACTGTATCGGAGAAGAAAATTCCAGAAAAGGAATCTCGAAGAGATCGTCGCCTGCGATTCCTCTCAGTTGAACTCGAGTCTGTGAGAATGAACATTTGAAATGGAATGGCGCGAAGGAAATGGGATATTTATAGAGATGGTTGGCCGGGGGAGATATTTCATGTTTCTTTTAAATAGCGGAAAAATAAAAAGAAGTGGGAGAATTGCAATTTGGTCCTCTGATTATAAGAAATATGTAATTTCATCCCTCAGTTCATTGATTGATAATTTGATTATAAAGGCCTCATTTGCTTGAAACAGGGTACGGGAAGGCAACAAAGTGAGAAATGAAAAGTATGAGAAGGGAAAACAGAGAGAGAACAAGGGAAAACTCGTATTGGATTAAGTATCTACTTTTGTTATATTTGTCTACCTTTCTTTCATAACCATATGAATTCGAAATCCATTAGTTGAAGTAATATAAAATTACGCTACGCAAGGCTCGAAACTGAAATATTTAATTAATGACGGAGGATCTCATCTATATATTCTCACGAAAAGGAGCAGAAAAAAGTGCACTTTCTTTCTCTTAGTTTCTTAGCTAAAAAGTTAGAGTTAGTCATTCTAATCATTAGAATAAATATCTAAACAAATTTTAGATTTTGGTTTTTCTATTTTTTTGTGAATATATTTGCTTGTCTATATTGAAGATTTAAAAACAAAAAGAAAAATCTGCTATAATGAATTCATGCTTAACTAGTTGTGAGACAAAACTCTTGATGCACTAGTGAATATCGTTTAATTCAAATAAATATTTGAATTTATCGGCACACGTTCGTCAGGTAAGTAGGAAAGAAATATAGATAACTAGATCATATCATCATAACTTACGTGAAGTATGATATTTTCACGTATCATATCAATGCACTGTTTAGTTATGCGTCCACTTAAGCTGAAATTAGTTATATAAATTATTTTTTCAAAAGATTAGTAAAAAATAATATAAAATATCCGTAAATAAAATGTAAGAAATTTATGTAAGGTTTTATTTTTCGAATTGTAAGTGTCTTTAGAAATGCTTTTACCCGATTGGAGAGATTTGATTATCCACATATTGTTGGATATATACATTATCTCTAGTTGTTTTTAAGTATTTTTTATACATATAAAAATTTAATCCAAATGGATATATTCATGTTTGGACTAGCCGACTAGTCACTAGAGTTTATGAATTTGAACTATGATTGTTTATGATTTAATTGTTTAATAAAGTATGTACTATGCAATGCCTGCATTTTCAGTTTAATAATGTATCAAAAATAATAATTTATTGTTAATAATGGTACTTTTCTTTTCCTTATCAGTTTAATAATAGTACACTGATATACGAAAAATTTTATTTTGAGTCTCAATGCCACATCATACTTATGTGAGGCTTTCTTATTACTTGACAAGTGGATTAACGGGTCCCACTTACTAATTTTAATTGATAAAACGGAAAAAGGCAACTCAAAAGTCCATACTTTTCCTATNAATTCATTTGTATTAGAAAAAGATTTATTGAAAAAGAAGAGAAGCAAAATAAAGTTTTTACTCAAAGAAATAATATGGAGGATGGAGAGCGGATTACTATATATATATAGATATAGATATATATAAGCTTCTCAAAAACAGATCGAAGAAAACAACAATCTGTTGGATACATATCTCAAATATTGCAGATATTTTATTACTATTTTTACTATTATTTTATTACTTATTTTGGTCCGTAGTTAAGCATCTTAAATAGGAAAGGTATGATTTTTAAATTGCTTTTTAAAATTTTATCTATTAAAGAAAGTAAGTGGGTCCATGAGTCCACTTGTCAAGTAATAAAAGAGACTCACATAAGTATGACGCAAAATAAAATTTCTCCTGATATACCACACGAAAAATAATTAGGAAGGCTGAAGCCGCTCACTATGCGGCGACATAAGCAACGCTGACCGCCATTTTTCCTTCCATCATCCGCCAATCCTACATTATCCCATAACAGTACATACTTTGAATGACAACGAATTTCAACAAAAATTCTTCTTATCTTAACTTTACTTTAGAATGCCAGGACTTCATACCTTGTTTAAAGGCTAAATACATACACAGTCTATTAAATTTGGCCCAATATTTCATTTTGGCACTCTAACTAACTCTTGTTCCATTTTGGCCCCCCAACTCCATTTTCTTTGTTCGCAAAAGCTCACTAGATTTAGTGTGTGATTTGCCTCCCCCTTTAGGCGCGTGAGGGACCATTTTTCAGCCAAATTTCCATGGCGAAATACATACACAGCCCATTAAATTTGGCCCAATTTTTCATTTTGGCACTTTAACTCAGGCTTGTTCCATTTTGGCCCTCCAACCCCATTTCTTTTGTTCCACTTTGACACAAAAGCTGACTATTTTTCATACTACTAACGTGGAGGCGGATCCAGAATTTAAATCATATGGATTCAATTTTAATGTTTTTAATATTGAACCCATTATATTTTTAAAGTTATGGGTTTATATCTATTTTTTACAATTTTAATGAATTTTTACATACAAATTTTTACTCTGCGTCGAAAGTTATGGGTTCAGTTGAACCCGTAGTTATTACTGAAAATATATTTTAAAAAAATATTTTTCCTCGGGATGTGGGCAAAAAAAAGGAAAAAACAAAATAATTTGAAATTACCAACAAAAAAATTGCGGGGGCAGTGGGATGGGGGGTAGCAGTTGGGTATTTGCACGCGCTATATTTTTACCTGGGGGGAAAAATTTTGTGTTAAAGTGGAACAAAAAAAATGGAGTTGAAGTGCCAAAATGGAACAGGAGTTAGTTAGAGTGCCCAAATGAAATATTGGGCCAAGTTTAATGGGATGTGTATGTATTTGGCCTTGTTTAAACATTTAGAAGAAGGAATTTTTTCCTAACTATACCATATATGAAACCTTATTACCAAAAATGTGCATTGTTTGTTAATTACCCGCCCAGTCCACGTTTTGCCTACAAACTTTGTACCATTCGACTATTAGGCATTAAAAGGGTAGAATATTCCCTAAAATTAAGGAGAGAATCTTGGTGTTAATTGATTCTACATTAAATTCAATTTTTAAAAAGGGAAAGGAGATTTCTCATCTGCGTATTTTTCTCCAGAACTACAATTCAAATTCTCAGGAAAAAAAAAGAACGAACAATTCAAATTTTCGAGTTTCAACAACTCAAAGTTGAAAAAATCTGTTCTTCGTCGTTTCTTCGTTTCTTCTAGTATCGCTAAACCACATCTTAACTGCATTTTTCTAGAAAAGAAAATGGCATACGATTTTATCTGCTTTGCTTTCCTCAAGATGCCGCCAGCATGATGTCACATCTGATTCAAAAAAACAAGCACCAATTAAATGGACATAAAGTGGAGAGTTCAAAGGTAGATCAATGACAATAACTTAAAGCTTGTAAACAACAACAAAAATGAGAAGAAAAAAATAACAGCAATAGGTCTTCTTAGTTTTATAATATTATCTACAAATTTACTACATATATCTACTATTTGACTACAATTTCTTTATTTGGTGCAGGAAAAAAATATTTTAATATACAGTGTCTCCAGATTGTAGATAAATTATAGGCAAATTGTAGTTTAGTTATAGTTTGTAGTTAATTTGTAGATAAATTGTAGATAAAATGTAGATATATTGTAAATACTATATTTTTAATATTGTAAATTTTTTTTTCTTTGTGTTTGTTCTGAAAATGTAGGTGAGGGCTTCAACAGATCATATACATACTGTGTTGGGTGGTGTGAAGCGGTACATTGTGTGTCTAGAAAATAAGAAATGTAGCTGTGGCCAATTCCAACTTGAAGAACTTCCATGTGTAAATTGTTTCCAGATTGTAGTTATAACGTAGGTTAAATGTAGTTAATTTGTATTTTTTGTAAAATTTTGTAGACAATTTGCAGATTAATTGTGGATGTCACAGTTCTACAATGTGCTCTTCATCTACAAAAGTTCTACAAAAAACTACAAATATTTACCTAGTTTTTTGGGTGATTATATTTTTTTCAAAGTTGAAGTGTTTGGCCAAGGTTTTATAAGAAAAAAAATATGTTTGAGGAGAAGCAGAAGCAATTTTGGAACAGAAAAAATAGCTTTCCGAAAAATAATTAGAAATAGTTTTTAAAAGCCTGCCCAAATACTAATTGATGGTCAAAATGCTTTTCAAATTAATTAATTAAAAAATAATTATTTTTCACCTAAAGTATTTTTTATAAAAATACTTTAAAAAAAAAAACTGATTTCGATCGACATGAGAAAGTAATTAAAAATCAATAACAAAATAAGCTAAATGAAAGTGCAAAACAGAAAAGAAGAAGAAAATAGATCAACGAAATCTGAGTCTTTGACTTTCTTCAATCCCGTTTCATTCTCTCCTCTGTTTGTCATCTCAAAGATTCAACTCAACTTCTTCCCTAAANATTTCTACAATTTGCTACTTCAATCTTACAAAATTTCTACAAAAACTTACAAATAACAGAAGATTCATATGGCTTACCCCATAAATTTACAATTGAGAATTGTTGATTGATCGATTGAGGAAGTCTTCTGTGTTCATCGTCTAATTCAACTTCGCGTACTGCCTCCATTTTCAAATCTTCCTCCATCTTTGAGCCTTTCTTCTACTTCGCTTAATCCCAACAGAGACGCAGAGAAACACTTCGAAGATTTGATTAATTTGATTTGATTTTGCCGCTGGTATTTGGTATTTGCCGGAGTGAGAGATTACTTTCATCTGTTTAAAAGCAATGAATTTTTACGGCGCCGGTCAGATCTTACGAATTAAGGGGAGAGAGAAACGTGGAATATATGGATACCTTTAATTAAGGAGTAAAAACTGCCCATTAATTAGATCCTTAATTAAATATGGTATATGATTGGTAATTTGGTATACGGTTTTTAATTAAATCAAACCTTAAACACAAAGGGTAAAAAGGTTTGCTACCTGGGATAGGAATGTAAAAATACTTACAACAAAGTCAAACTCTTATCGAAAACCCAGATACAATTTTGTTCACCGGTGGCTTATTTCTTGACCCAATAATTCCTTCTTCAATTACCACCACCACCACAAATTTTCTAAATGGCTCTTCAATTGATGATTCTAATGAGTTACATTCTCCCATTCGTCGTCTTAGACCAATTTTCAGGCGAGAAAAGAGTGTTGGCGCCGGTTTTGGGGGTAAATTCTTGTGTTTGAGCTTATCAGTCAAGAAGAATACTGGCGTTGTCGGAAATTCCAGTGAATGCTTGTTGAGTAATAATGGAGATGAGAGTTCCAAGGTGGAGAAGCCTAGTGACGGTTCTGGAGGCGGGAGGAAGCGAAATATTGGGCTAAGGGGGCGTCGTGGTGCAGTGAATACCACTAAACATTTGTGGGCTGGAGCAGTTGCTGCCATGGTATCAAGGTTAGTGCTTTTCTCCTATCGAAGTGTTATAAATTTCAATTATGACATTTTGAACTAAATTGGAATTATTGCATAGCTGACTTTTTTATTGCACTTGATCTCCTATGCAATACTTAAAACTGTGGTAGGGAATTTTGCCTTTGAGGTAAAATCTGCTTGCCTTCCTAACTACTCACATCCATATCTTTACTTGCACTTAAAAGTTGGAAAGCTAGGAAACAAGGAATGTGCCATTAATTTTTCAATATATGATAGGGAAAAGCTGTGAATATGGATGAATATGTGGGAGAAAGGGGATGTTCTCTATTTACAGAAAAGGGATACTAGGATATGGACGAACTGTAAATATGGAGAAAAATGCCGTCAAAAATAGAGGTTTCAATAAATGGTTGCATGTATAAGTGCTGGGAAACAGATGAGTCTCGTTTTATTTATCACTATCTTGCCGTTGTAAATGGAAGTGTCATCAGTTTACTAGCTATGCCTGTGTTGTTTTTTTAAGGTCAAAACTTTTGAGATGAAGCATTAATATTTAATGTGATGTTTGGTCTTACTCGTACCTCGCTTTTTTTTTAGGATATGTAAACCCCACCGCTGAAACCGCCCATTCAGGAGCAATCAACGGCCCTTCCCCTATTTTACTTCCTTGGTGACTCTAAACTCTTAGATCCGTTTTACTAGGCTATCCCTCCCTTGTCTTGGGTTTACTTTCACAATCAAAGGCCTATTTCCATTAAGTTATATATCCATGTTTTAAGGCATGCGCAATCATCCATTTTGCTCAAACTTTTAACCTTTGTCCCACTTTTCAGTTACTATCCACTTACATGGATGTCGTGGTTTTTGTTTGGATCTTATTATGTTACCGTCCATCTTCCTAAAACAAAAAGTATCATGTTCTTCTTAGGCACACTTTCTTCACTTTATTCCCACGTAGAGATGAATCAGAAGTAAGCTTTTACCCGAAAAGCTAGGCCTGTTACTCATAAAGTAATCCATGTTTCTGCGATGCTGTTTATATTTTCCTTTTCTTTTTTTTTCCAGAGGGCAGGAGAGGGGGTTTAAATCTTTCGTGAAAGTCAAGCAAGCATTCACATTGAGAAGAGGAACATCACGTTTTGACCTAAAAGGCTAAAACAATAATGATCTGAATGCTTTCAAAAAAAAAAAAAAATCCTTTTTCTTTGGATTGAGCCTCTGGATATTCCTTATACCCAAGTTTTAACTTCATTTTTAATCATACGGTTTTGAATACAAAGAAGTTAACTTTTGTATTCCTAGAGTTAAAGATATTTCTTTTTCTTTGCCCCTCTTTTTGGTAAGTAAAAGTTTCGAGCTTACAAATTGCCTCAATCATGTTATGCAGTTTTCTGAAATTTGAACCAACATGAAACTTCGGGAATGGTCCTTATTCTGAAACTATTCAGAGCTTATATTGAAAAGAGGGAGCGATCATACCTGGTCAATCAACCCCTTTATTATTTCTGAGTGTTTGTGCACTTCCATTTCCTTATTCTCGTTTTCTGTCCATTTTTCCTCCGGCATTGTGATGGCCAGAGTCGACAACTCATTGTATGAACTAACTCATAGCCCTGTTAACTTTCTTTATATTTATTTGATTACTTGACATTTGTTAAAATAGTAAAATTGGTAACAGATAGTCTAGTTTATATCCTTCTATACACCTTCTATTTTTTTAGGTTTGAGATTAAGCATGCTTTTGAAGTTACTTCTAAAGTAGTTAACCCCAAATCGAGTTGAAATCAGTTTCTTCATGCAACTATCTTTTGCTTCAACTCTGTATGAATACATCTTGTTTTAGCAGAACTGTTGTTGCTCCAGTTGAAAGACTAAAGCTGGAATACATAGTTCGAGGTGAACAGAAGCACCTGGTGGAGCTCATCAAAACGATTGCAACTACTCAAGGCTTGAGAGTCTTTTGGAAAGTAGCTGAGATGAGGATGTTAAGGTGGATGTGTGGGCATACTAAGTTAGATAAGATTAGGAATAAAGTTATTCGAGATAAGGTGGGAGTGGCCCCTATGGAGGATAAGATACGGGAGGCGAGGTTGAGATGGTTCGGGCATGTTAAGAGGAGAAGCATAGAAGCCCCAGTTAGAAGGTGCAAGAGGTTAGCCTAAGAAGTCTTGGGGAAAGGTGATTAGGCGGGACATGGCGCAGCTGGAGCTGACTGAGGACATGACCCTAGATAGGAGGGTGTGGAGGTCGAAAATGAGGGTAGAAGGCTAGTAGGTAGTCGAACGTTTCTCTTTGTCTTACCCATTTCGCTAGCATTAGTGTTAGTATGATATCATTTTATTCATAGATTGCTATTACTACCTAGAGTTAACTGCTTTCTTGGTTTCGGTCTTATTTTTATCTTGTTGTTGTTCCTACTTGTTGCCATCAATTTTTTTCATTCGTTCTCTAACCGAGGCTCTATCGAAAACAGCCTCTCTGCCCTTCCAGGGTAGGGGTCAGGCTGCGTGCATCTTACCGTCCCCAGTCCGGGGACCCCACTTGTGAGAAATCTGAGTTTGTTGTTGTTGTACTTTGATTTTGCATAGGAATTCAGTAACCAATAAACACAAGATTCTTTATATGAAACAATTAGTTCTGGAATTGAAGGAAAGCAAATTGATATTTTGGATATAGCATCTTCAAGTCTCAATAACTCTGCGCCGATCCCATTTTTTTTCCATCTATCCTATTTCACGTATATTTTGCAGTTTCTTAATGGAAACACGTTAAAATTCGGTAGTTACTCTTTCTAATTCATCTGCTGATGAGTTCTAACTTATCAAAGGTTCAAGCAGTTTTGGCTCTACACCTTTTTTGTTTTCTTAGCATTTCTTGGTGAGTTGTGGAAGGAGATAGTGGGTGTGACAAGGGGAAAGCAATGCCAATTAGTGGCAGAAAGGACTGGGGAGGTGGGGGCAGTGCTTGTGAGAAGCCTTGGGCTGTGGACCAAGAGGGTGGTTAAGGAAGAAATAATTGGGATTGATAAAAGCTTTCCTCATCCTCGAGCTAACTACCGATCAAGAATAAACACTATTAAGCACATCACAGGGAATCATGTCTAGAAGACCCTTAAGCATATGCCTTTTTGTTTTTGCTATTTATTGTTATTCATTGATATACATAAGATACCGAAAGATAGGAAAAACTATTGAATTAAAGAACAAAATAAAACTAAGAATTATAGAATTTTAACTCTCATTTAGGATTAAAAATACAGTTGAGGTCTTAATTTTTTTCCTAAATCAAATAATAGAAGGGCCCCAACTGAACATACCATATAGGCAGGGGCAAAAGAGCGAATTTCCCTGTATAAAAATTTAGTCTAACAGTTACTGATCAAGAAAAAAAGAAGAAAAATTTGGTACATCAGCTTTGTCTGAGAGAAAAACAAGGAAAGGGATAAAAGAATTGAACAAATCTCCGCTCCGTCGGTGAACCAGCAAAACAAAATGGGCACTGCACATTGTCTATCATTGTTAATACGGGCCGAACTAATTTCTCCCTTATCATTCAGGTCTGATACATGCTTATAATAAAAGATAGTGCATGGAATGATGTTGTCATTTATTAGCATCAAAGGCTTGGTGTTATTACTAGTTTTTATTTCTCTGATTTGAAAATGGAAGCAGCTGTGCTGAAAAAGTTTGCATTTCATTCTTCTATAAGAATGTGTAACAATTTTTTTATTAATATAAATGCATGACGTGTTCACACCAACTGATTTCCTTATTAGATTGATTAACCTCCTAATGATTGGGGAAGTTTGATTTCCCTCTGGATTCTTCTTTGTTATTTCCAATGTTGCCTGATAATTTAAAGCCTTTCAGATCCGGACCAAGTTAGTGGCACGGGGTGGAGAAGCCTTGGGCGGTGTAGGTGGAGCTTTCCAACACCTGATCAGAACTGAAGGATTCTTCTCTCTTTATAAGGGAGTATGGCCCCAGCTGCAGCTGTCTTCTATAGTGTATACGACATATTAAAATCAGCTTATTTGCATTCACCTGAAGGAAGAAAAAGAATTCAGTATATGAAGCAACAGGGAGCAGAGCTCAATGCTTTGGACCAGCTTGAGTTGGGACCTATGAGGACCTTGCTCCATGGTGCTATCGCTGGTGCGTGTGCTGAAGCTGCAACCTACCCATTTGAGGTCATTAGAAGGCAGCTTCAATTACAAGGTCGAGCGTCTAAACTGAGTGCCTTGGCAACTTGTGCAAAGATTGTTGAACATGGGGGTGTTCCAGCTCTATATGCAGGGTTAATCCCTAGTTTACTTCAGGTACCAGTACCGTTGTGGCCATGCATTATGTTTAAGATACTTTTTTCATCAGTAAATGAGTCATTTCAATCTCAGAAACTGAATACCACCCTTCTTCCCAACGTTGTGCTCCTCTATACGCATATAGAAGTAGCAATTTTTCATTAGGTTAAGATGGTTGGTTAACTAGAACAAGTATTATCAGCTCTATTTTACCAAGTCTTATGGGTTAAAACCTCCTCTCCTTGCCCTGATGTAAAAACTATCTAGGAAAATGGATAGCGGGAGGGGGGGGGGGGGTGCGCGCTAAGGGATCGTTTGGTTGGGAAGCAAGCTATCCCATGATTAATTATCTCATCCTTCCATGGGGATAAAAAAGCACTACAATCCTGGGATAACTAATCCCGGGATTAGTTATACAACGATTTTATCCCAACCAAATGTGGGATAAACTCATCTCAAATTTAATCTCGGGATTAATTATCTCTTATCCTTTGTACCAAACGAGCCCTAAAAGAACAAGATTCTGTGTTGTGGCCTCTCTATTTTCTGGCTTTTATCTTCTTTTTCATCCTCTCCTTCATTTTATTGGATTGCCCCTATGGCTGACTTTTTCTTTAAATAGCAGAAACAGTACATCCAGATCTAGAGAAATTTTCATATTTCATTTCAATTGATTTGCATATTCTGTGATTATAATATTCCAAATTCAACCATATCTTTGAGGGATTAAGTTCATTTTCTTCTTTTCAAATCTCGTTATTATGAAGACTTACCCACTCTCACTTATCATGTTCCGAATCTTCAGGTGTTACCTTCAGCATCCATTAGCTACTTTGTTTACGAGTTCATGAAGATTGTTCTCAAAGTGGAATGAAGAACATCTGTTAGCAGCTAAGTAACGATGTACAGAAGCGCATTGTATTACAATGTTATTCATCACATGATATTAAAGAGGTAGGGTTTAGTTTGTTGGAGATTGAAGCTAAGTTTCTCTTTAACACTTGATGAAATTCTTAGCTTAGATTCAGGCTCACAGACTCGATGCTATTTTTTACTCAGTAAGATCATCTTTATCTGTAGTCTGTACCACTATTTAAGCCCAAAGCCCTTTAATCACATTCATCTCATTTACATGTCTATATGTATCCTACAAATGAAACTCCTACCTCTATCGCTCTTAATTTTCTATATTCAAATTAATGAAATTCTTTCTCTATAATTCGCCATGTTGTCATTAATCCTCCTCTGTCCCAACAGGAAAAAAAGAGTTTATCAAACAAAAAGGCTGGTATTCTCTTCAACAGGCTGAAAAGCTAGCTGATTAATGATTATCTTTTTGGGGAAATGAAAAGGATGAGGAGAGCAACGATAAAGAGAGTAAATTATAATAACTCGGCGATGATTGATATAAGCTTTTAATGTAACTCAAGTTGAACAACAGTTTGGATCGATATTACATCCATTTTAACAATTAAATGAGTGCATCTCTTGTCAAACTCGTCCAATCTTGTACAGATTATGTATTTGTAGGTCAAGATACACCTATAGGTGAACGAATGTAACTGATTTTTTCTCACATTGCTCTTTCAAATTTCCTCTGTTAATATTGCAGGAAAAATGTGCAACAATCTCTCTTCCTTTACTTCCATGTTTCTAAGCAAATGATAAGCTCCTTTTCTGAGAAACAATTAGGCAGTTAATTAGTAAAGTGAAGTTCTTTGGGAAATAATATCATTCTCACGTTAGGGGACAGGAAAAAAGTCAACGGTAAAAGTATTTTTTTTTTTTTTTTTTTTTTTTTTTTTTTTTTTTTTTTATCTTAAGTTGTTAGTAGATAAAGGACTTGTCTAATTTTCGGTGGACAAAGGAGAGAATTTTGTGAGAAGAAAAAAGGATACAGAATTTTGCAATTTCAGTCCTCGAAGCAGGTCAACGGTTAAACGTGAACTTTTACACCGAGACACAGACGACCCATAACCAGATACTATCATTTATTAACGCCGCTTTTTAAAATGCCAAAATTCTGTCTCTATTCCTGAAATCTTATACCAGTACTCCCTCCGGTCCACAATAAGTGTCCAATTTACTTTTAGCACGCCCATTAAGAAAATACTAAATCCTATACAAAATTACCTAGTATGACTAAACTATCCTTATTAAATATTGGGCACATGATGAGAGAGAATTCTTTAGGGATATGCACATAAGGGTAAAAGAGTAAAAACAAATTGAATTTTTTCTTGATTACCTAACTAGACACTTATTTTGGACCAAAATCAAAAAGTAAAGTAGACACTTATTGTGGACCGGAGGGAGTACTAAACTAGTGTTGTATTTTAAAACGACAATATAAATGAAAAAAAACGCAATCCAAAAAATATAATAAAATATTTCTAAAATCTTCATCCTCAACTGGGTAGTGTGTATGCAGACTTTACCTCTACCCCGAGGGTGTAGAGAGGCTGTTTCCGGTAGACACTCTGCTCAAAAAGACGAAAAGAGACAATATATCAGTACCATAAACAAAAATCATAGAAATAATAACAATATCACAAGTACCAGTAAATGGATGGAAAGCAAAAACAATAACCATTAAATAAGGCCCGGCACTATGAAAACGGAAGAGTAGTGTGAACACAACATTGACCACTAGCAGTCTAAGACAAAATCATATCAGACTAGCCTCACACTGATACGAGTTAGGAATATGATCAACTACCTCCTAACCTACAACCTTAATTCTCGACCTCCACAGCTTCCTATACACCGTCAATGTGTAGAAATTGAATCATCTCTCATAACTAATTTGGAAGCAATAATCATGTCTTCCAACGCAACACAAAATAATCCTTATTTTATGATGTTTTCCTCAAATGCAGGCTACAAGGTGCAGTCTTGGTAGATAATGTGAACATAGCGAACATTGAGACAATTTTAGACTTTAATCTTAGCGGTGAAGCATCAACAGTATTGGCTGAAATGAAGATAGCCTTAAATGCTTATCTACAGGAGCTAGTTGATTCCCCTGTTAGATCTTTATCAGATGTAATAATCTTCAATCAGAAAAATTCTGAATTGGTGCGTTATCCATGATCAAATAATCTACAAAATAGGGATGGCAATTGGGGCAGAGCAGGGCGGGGCAGAGCAATCTTTGACCCACTAAAATTTTGACCCGCCCTGCCCTGTCCCGTTTAGCCTTGTTCCAAAATTTTGCCCCGCCCTGCCCTGCCCTATTAAGCCCCGCCCCGCCCTGCCCCGTTTAGATTCACTTTCATCTTTTTTCTTTATTTTTCATTTTCCAGTAGTCTAAATTTTCAAATGGCTTTGCTATTGCACTTAATGCTTTCATTTCTTTTCAATGGTTCAATTATCAGCTTGAATTCTTATGGAATCCATCGTATCATCTTGTATACCTTAAACAATTGATGAACTTTTCTTCTATAGAAGATGGCAGTAAGATGCTCAGTTTCAAACTTTGATAAATGTTGTTTTGTTTCTTTGTCACTAAACCCAGTTATATAACAACATAAGCATTTGTTGATCAAGTATGGCGAGACTATAATGTCATTTGCTAGCTACTTCAATATTTTAATTATACATCCAGTCAAATTCGTAGTCACGTATATAAATTCTATATATTTATCAATTTATGAAAGAAAAGAAGATATGGACAATAACAAATGTAAGGAATGAATTGGGCCTCAAAGGCTCAAACTACCTAATGGCCCACTAATGGGACTAAGGGCTGACCTACAACCTGCCCTGCCTCATTAAGATTTTTCAAAAATGTAGTTGTGCCCTGCCCCGCCCCGCCCCGCCCCGCCCCGCCCCATTTATATGTTCCCCTGCACTGCCCCGTTTAGTTTTGCCCTGCCCCGCCCCGCCCTGCCCGCCCCAATTGTCATCCCTAGTACAAAATTCTGGCTCCGCCACTACTTGGCAGTTCAATTAACTTGATTTATTTCAGGAAATGCTCAAGGAATTTGGTCAAGATATATTTTTGGCAGCTGAAATAACAAATGGAATTGGGGTAACAGAATTGAAAGCTTTGAGGAATTTATCAAGATTAACAAGAGATGGATTCCAAAAATTGATGGAAAGATATAAGTTGGATGCATTGGTGACTGCTGGTTCTGATGTTGCTGCTGTTGTTGCTATTGGTGGATTTCCAGCAATTACTGTGCCTGCTGCATATGACAAAGAGGTGCCTATTGGCATTTGTTTTAGTGGGTTGAAAGGGTCTGAGCCTAAATTAATTGAAATTGCCTATGGCTTTGAGCAAGCAACCCTGATTAGAAAACCTCCTACATTTTTACCCTGATTTATTATGATAACATCTAAATAAAATGAAAACTTACCTTTTCTATTTTTTGGAGAACGCAACGGAGACCTATAATAAAGGGATTTTTACACAATTAACCGGTCATATTTATTGTTTATTTTTTCTAGTCATATACATAGATTATATATTAATTATATACAAGTATACACATATAATACATAAATTATGCATATATTATACCTTCATCGGCTATTTTTAGTTTAAGTAATTGGGTAGACGGCTATTTGGGTTAATTCTTCTAATAAATACTTACATTTTAGTTGTCGTGATTACTAAAAAGTAATTGAGTCAAAATACTTGTCATTTTAGAAATCAAGATACCCATTTTAGTATTAGTTGTTTTTTTAAGTAAAAGTATTATTGATTACATACCATAAAAAAAGCATCTCATTAATAGTTTTTTAAGGGGCGTGTAAAAGAGAAATGTAACTAACTAAAATATGGAAGAATATCATAATATTGACTATTCTATCATGTTACGCAAGGATTAAACCCATAATCTTGGTAGGGGCGGATTTATAGGAAAATATATGGGGCACGTGAACACATGATCTCTCCATCAAATTAGGTATTTTATGTATATATATTTTTTTAAAATTGGTCTAATATTATTTGCTGCACCCATACTCCAAATAGGTCAAATGGTGCACTTGATTGAATGCTGAGTTATTTACCTAGAATCAAGAGCGGAGCCAGAATTTTCATCAAGGGGTGTCAAAATATAAATAATTAGATACATCGAAAAGTCAATGGGAGTCAACATATAATAAATATACATAAAATAAAAAAAATTATCTAGCAATATAGTGTAATTTTCTCGCGAAGGAGTGTCGCTTGACACCCCTTTGTTCAATGTGGCTCCGCCACCGCCTAGAATAGCAGGGATCAAATACTACTTAATACTTTTCTTTTGTCCTTTCTTTAATAATGCACCTATATTAAATTTTTTTTAATGATGCACCCATATTATAAAAATCTTAGATCAGCATATCTTAGGGTTATGGTATTGACGCCTTAGCCTTGATCATTAGGCCTAAGCATCTTGGCAAAAGCTTTCGAACTTTCAAAGAGAAATAGTTGATTCACATGTATGTTGCCAAAACGAGAAATCATGACAAAAGATATTCACACTAAAAACAAAACATAAATGTATATAGGTGTCTATACATCTTTCATTATAAATATGATTTTTAATGGAAGAATTGGAGATAATGCACACTAATAATATATTATAGGAGCTAAAAACAAAAATTGAATTAAAAAAGTGAAAAAAATTAGGTACATTGGTCAACTAAATTATGTATATGCGTTGCGTCCGAAGTTGGAACTCTTGAAAATATTGTCAAACTCCATAGCTACGCGAGATTCTCGTGGTTGGTGTATCATTTTGATGGCTGATGTACTAAATACCGACACTTACCAACTCTTCCTCGTCAAATTTTTCAAACCAGACCTCTCAAACCCACCACCTATCTATCATGATTTCAGTATGGAAGGTGTATACGGGTAAAATCGGAAACAATGCTTATACGATTTCTCAATGAGGAAGACGGAAGAAGGTTACGGACATATAAGGTTGAAATCGATGCTGGGAGCCTTGCGTGCCGAGGCCTGTAACAGGTGAACAATGTGCTCATCGTCGGGCGTGATGAAGCAACACTCCCCGGGCCTAAAAACGAGCTCCAATAGACCTTGAAAAATATGGCAAATAATTGCGCATGACTAATAGAGGACCGTGATATACGTACCCAACCGGATATCACGGCACAAATCTCGCCCGATGTCGGTTACGCAGCAATTGGCGAGAAATTAAAGGAATTTTTTTTTATCTTTTTTAGAATTGTATTAAGGATGAAACTCTCTTACGGTATAAAGGGGAAGCTTTTTCTTTAAGAAGACGCATTGTAACACGCCAATCAAGGCAATACAAATTTATTTTTCTGCTTTTTAGCTATTGCAGAGTTCTTACTTTATAGTTTGTTCTTCATTCACAATTGGTTTCGAACTAAGGGTCCGATCGAAGGCAAAACTACTATTCAATCTAAGTTCAAGCTGGGCCTTAACATTACAATCAATTTGATCACTCGTTTTGTCTTTAACTCGTTTATCCAATATTCTTGATTATTTGTGTTGAATCTATCCACATATTTTTAAAACCGTGAACAAATTTAATTGTTATCCTAAACAGAAGGTGATAGAGAAAAAGAACCAAATCGAAAAAAATACTTGGCCAAAAAGATAAGACAAAAAGTTGAATCAACAAAAGCAACCAAATCTTATTAGTCCAGAAGATTCAAATAATGTGACCTTGACTCCAAAGAGATACGGAAACACTCATTATAACAACGGACAAGTTAAGTACAATTTTGGAAGTAAACCCTATTTAATTAAATTTCTAACAACAATTTTGTCCATCCCACCTGCTCCTGGTATCTTTTTTTCTCCCACCTGCTCCTAGTATACTTGACAAATGGCTCATAATTTAAAACTTTGAAATATATTGGATTTGAAAAAAAAAAAATTGTCGTATTTTTGTGTTGGCAAACCAATGCATGACTAAACTTCTAGAATCCTAACATGACTTTATGCACAATATATGAAATTTTTTTGTTTGTTTTGTTCTTTCTCAAGAGTTCAACAAAAGCTCTAAATTTTAAGTGGGACCAGATTAGTTAGAAATGTAGTTTGCTTGATTTGTTTAAAAGTCAAAGAGACTTTTAATTTATAACTAATCCCCCAACCCTCCTTATAAAAAGCACTATCCCTCAACATATCATATTTGATTTTTGTGTTGCACACAAGTACTTAGCAAGCCAATAGCTCAATTCTTGATTCGACCTCAGCTTTCGAATCTGCCTGTACAAAATTGCCATCGGCTCCTCATCATAAGTCAGGTCATCGCCTTCCTCTTGTAATTGATTTTTTTTTTTCTACTACGCTTATCCATCCGTCAAATTAACATCCAGTAAGTAATTTTGCCATGGAGAGGTTTGCTCTACTTGTCATATTGTTAGTGACAATATTTGCATGGGCTGAAGGGCAAGACCAAGAATCATGGGCCAAGAGGGTAGAATCAGGCAAAGAAGTAGTGACAACTCTTCAATTCTATTTTCATGATAAACTCAGTGGATCTAACCCAAGTGCAGTGAGGATAGCCCAAGCAGCTGAGACCAACAATTCGGCTACAATATTTGGGGCTTTACTGATGATTGATGATCCACTTACTATTGGACCAGACCCAACTTCAAAGTTAGTGGGCCGGGCCCGTGGGCTTTACGGGTCAGCTGGTCAAACTGATTTGGGCCTTATCATGGTGCTCAACTATGGGTTCACAGATGGTATTTACCAAGGCAGTTCGTTTAGCCTGTTAAGCTTGAACCCGGCGTTGAACCCGGTTCGTGAAATGGCTATTGTTGGAGGGACCGGTTTATTCCGGTTGGCTCGTGGGTATGCTATTGCTCAAACCTATTCGGCTAATCCTAATGGTGATGCTATTGTTGGATATAATGTTACCATTGTCACATATATTTAATCTCTTTTTGTTTTTCCTATAGATGCAACTAGTCTGCATGCATTTAGTCTAGTTCTTCATTTTTTCCTTGCCTAATTTTGCATGCCTTTTTTGGAATGATATTGATGTGTGAGCAATAAAGAAATTGAAGTACATGAATGGTAATAACGGAACCAATAATTTCTTAAAGTATGTGAATGATGCACAGCGTCAGCATCTTAGATGGGGTTGGTCAACTACTTCTAGACATTGTATTAAAGGGTAGGTAAAAATAGATGGAGTTGAAAGAAGAAGAAAAAGACAATTATTAATTTGTAAAAGAAAACTCGATAATTTAAAACGTTGAGGTGTTTTCCCCCTTTAACATTTTTATCCGTCACACTCAATAAAATTTCCGTATTCGCAAATATTAGGTCATCGGTATTTGCAATTATATTATCAAGGTCAAACTAATTGCAGAAACAAAAATTATGGAAATAGTCATTAGCCAGGAACATGCAGTCAATGCATATGACATTCGGTACAACAATACCTCAACGGTAATATTTATTCTTACGAGTGTCTACATCAAACCAAATAATCTAATTATAGGAGTCACAGATTAATTTAAGAATATATATCACTTAATCTTGATAAAGGAATTACAACAATTTGGGTGATTGTGCAGCGTTTAACATGTGAGTTGTTAGTTGTTACGCGGCGCCTTCCTGAGATTCCTTGGAAGGGCGACGTAAGGCTAAGCAACTAATGTCAGTGCAGTTACTGTCCGCCAACTGAGGTCATCTCCGTACGCTAGACGAGATTGTCAGTGCCGTACGGGAAAACCAATGTCAAGAGCAATTGAGAGAACAGAAATGAGAATTGAGAATGAAAGAAAGCTTGATTGCATTAATGAAAGCTATTACAGAAAAGCAACGCGGTGTCGAGGGGGAGAGACACCAGTACAGAGAATTGTTTGCTTGCTAGAAAGTTTTGATTGCTTGATCCCCCCTAATAATGCTTAAAAAAAAAATAATCAAAAGCTACAAGACTAGACTTGACTAACCTAGAGAAACATAATGGAAGTACATGAAATAAAACTACTCTATATTTACAATGAAAATGACTTAGTTTTCTATAAGGCAGCAGCAGGTCCGTTGTCAGCAGCAGTGTCTTTGGCATCACGGTCTGCGCGCGCGGCATTGGCTGCGCGCGCGGCGCTGTTGGCATCTGCCTGCGGCTTGGCGCTGGTGAGGGATATCGGTGGGGCGACAGAGGCACCTGCGCGCTTGTCACTTGGCGCGGCCAAGACCACGGGGCCGTCCGTGGCGCTAGGCATTGGGAGGCTTGCTAAGACGCCATGGGGCGCGCCCAAGGGGTCATGGGGTATGGCTGGAAAGCCGCCCATGACATTCTCCCCCACCTGAGTTGGCGACGTCCTCGGCGCCTTACTTGCAAAATAATCTTCAATGAGGCTCTTGTAGGCTTTGAGGTTTGTTCCCCTCTCCCAAGTATTCTCTTCTGCATCACAGCCCTGCAATTTCACCAAGAACTCTTGGTGATCTTTCCTTGAGGCATGAATCACTCTATCATTAAGGATAACTTCAACACGCCTTTTCCGGTTGAATTGGGGCCTCGAATACTGGGTATTGTGAACTGGCTCCGTGAAGGATCCTCCGTGTCTTCCCGAAAAGGTTTTAGGAGACTGGCATGGAAGACAGGATGAATTTTCTACCAAACTGGGGTATCCACCCGGTATGCAACTTTCCCAATGCGCCTTTCAATGGACAAGGGTCCAATATATTTTTGCAATAGGCGAGGGTCATGGACCCCCGCAAATAAGTACCGCTTTGGGATTTTGACCATCACTTTGTCTCCTACTTGATATTCAACAAAGTGGCGATTCTGATCAGCATGCCTCTTCATCCGCTTTTGAGCTTTGACAAGATAGCTCCACACTATCTCCAAATTCCGCTTCCACTCTTTTGAGAAGCTAGCAGCTCGAGGAGATTTAGCCATGTTTGGTGCATTCACAGTGTGTGGGAGTAGCGGTTGCTATCCGGTAACAATTTTAAAAGCGCTTTTGTTTGTACTAGAGCTCTTTTGTGAATTTAAACACAGTTGAGCAGGATCCAGAAGCTTCACCCAATTCTTCTGCGATCCGGTTATAAAGTGGCGGAGATATTCCTCCAACATACCATTGAACCGCTCCGTCTGGCCATCAAATTGCAGATGAAAACTTGAGCTGTGACTCAATTTTGACCCAAGGCACTTGAAGAGTTGGGTCCAAAAGTTGCTAGTGAAGCGTGAGTCGTGATCACTAATGATGTCTTTGGGCAGGCCGCAATATTTGACAACATGAGAAAAGAAGAGTAGAGTTGTATCTTTGCTGATATATATTGTGGGGCTGCAATAAAGGTGGCATACTTGGAAAACCGGTCCACCACAACCAAGATAGTTGTGAGATCTCCGACCTTGGGCAATCCGGTGATGAAATCCAGGTCTCTTTGGGACAGCTAGTGGTTCCAAGAGTCCCGCTTGTGTCAAGCGGTCTGACTTGTCCTTCTGGCATACTAGACAAGTCTTCACATACTGAGCAACATCATCGACCATTTGAGGCCAATAATAGGCACGACGAAGTAACGCCATGGTGCGTTCTTCACCGGGATGGCCGGCCCACAGAGTATCATGACATTCCGCTAGAAGAGTCCTCCGCAGATCTCCTCCTTTAGGAACATAAAGTCGGTTCCCTTTCACTTTCAGAAAACCATCTTCCATGTAGAACTGACGAGTCTTGCCCTGTCCTACCAAATCAACCAAATACTGAGCAGCAGGATCCTTGATGAGTAGATCCTGTATCTGGTCCTTAATGGATGTGGCTAGTTCGCTCCCCCTTAGGGTGGTAGGCACACCAATGCTAGATCAGCTCTCCGACTGAGCGCATCAGCAACATGATTGGTCTTTCCACTGCGGTACTCCAGGTTGAAGTGGAATTCAGCTAGGAGTTCCTGCCACCTGGCCTGTCGACCATTCAGCTTCGGCTGGGTCATGAAATGGCTGACAGCTGTGTTGTCTGTCTTGACCACGAACGGGGTCCCCAGCAGATAGTGCCTCCAAAGGCGCAAGCAGTGGACGACAGCCAATAATTCTTTCTCATGGGCGGCATAGCGCCGTTCTGCATCCATCAGCTTCCGACTCTCGTACGCTACAGGGTGCCCTTCTTGTAGCAACACTCCACCGAGGGCATAGTCAGATGCATCTGTTTGTACCTCGAATGGCTTGGCCAAATCAGGGAGGGCCAAGACGGGGCTACTAGACATAGCCGCTTTTAATGCGTTGAAGGCCTCCGCTCGCCTCGGTCCCCAATCCCATGGTGTGACCTTCTTGAGGAGTTCTGTCAATAGCACTGCAATAAGGGAGTAGTTCTTCACAAATCGCCGGTAGAAGTTGCATAGGCCAAGGAACGCCCTCAAGGCGTGGACATCTTTAGGCGGCGACAAATCTGTGATGGCCTGAATCTTCTGTTGGTCCATCTTGATCCGCCCTTCCTCGATGACATGTCCGAGGAAGTCAATTTGCTTTTGAGCAAAGGAGCACTTGGATTGCTTTGCATATAGTTCATGCTCCCGCAATCGAGCTAGGACCTTCCGCAAGTTCACTAGGTGTTCTTCCAATATCTGGCTATATACCACAATGTCATCTAAGTAGACCACCACAAATTCGTCGATGTACTCTCGTAAGAATTGGTTCATGAGAGTGCAAAATGTAGCTGGGGCGTTGGTCAAGTCGAACGGCATGACCAAGAAGTCGTACGACCCATATCTTGTCACACAGGTCGTCTTGTGTTCATCACCCTCTGGAATCCGAACTTGCCAATAACCTGTCTTCAGATCTATCTTGGTTAACACCATCGCGACATCCAGTCTATCGAACAAGTCTGTCATTAGAGGAATAGGGTACTTATTCTTCACGGTGATTTTGTTTAGAGCTCGATAATCCACACAGAGTCGCAGGCTGCCATCATGTTTCTTTTGGAATAGAACAGGGGACCCGTATGGGGACCTGGAGGGTACAATGATCCATGTATCTAGCATTTCCGTCAATTGTCTCCGAAGCTCGGTGAGTTCGGGTTGTGACATTCTGTAAGGCGCCCGGGCAGGTGGCTTCGCGCCCGGCACCAACTCAATTTCATGGTCCATGGTGCGCCTAGGCAGGAGCCGCTTTGGCATGTCTCGTGGTATGACATCTTCAAACTCCAGTAGTAACTCCTTCACGGATTCAGGAATGGGACCCGAGGAGCGTTCTATATCTTCAATGCAGAGGGTTGCCAGGAACGTAGGTTCATTCCTTTTGACCCCCTTCTTCAACTGCAAGGCCGAGATGTTCTCAACGGCCATCTTCATGGGCAGGCACGGGATAATGCAGGGCTTGGCCCTATTGGTACCCATCATCAGTAGCATGTCTGCAAATGGTACAGGCATGGTGTTGGTTTGCCTTAGGAATTCCAGCCCAACAATCAACTCGAAGTCATCTATGATCACCACTCGCAGGTTGAATTTTCCTTCGTAAGGCCCAAGCTTCACCGGTACTTCTTTAGCTATTCCACCCACTGGCTGGGGAGGTGAGTTGATAGCCTTGACGCTACCTTTACCTTTCCCTACAACTAGTCCAAGGCGCTCCACCTGAGTCGAGGCTAAGTAGTTGTGGGTAGCACCCGTGTCTATCATAGCCCGAATGGGCTTGCCATTCACCTTCATCTCGACGAACATTAAGGTCCTCTCTTGTTTAAGAGGAGTCTCTTCATTCGCCTTCTTTTTCCCTTTCCTGGTGACGGGACATGAGTCCTTCTTCTTACGAATACCAGCACTGGTCTCCGCTAGTGCCTCAGAAATGGAACCCACAATTGCATTGAAGGCACCTACTGGTTCAGTCTGGTCCGCATCGTCTGAGTCGTCATCAGTCCCATCATCAATAGCCTGATGGGCATTCATCTGTGCATGTGGGCACTCATTGTTCCAATGTGGACCGCCGCAATGACGGCATCCTGAAGGAGGCTTTCTCGCCCGATCATTGTTGTTTGACGCAGCACTGTTGCTGCCGGAGGAAGGAGCTCTAGATTTGTTTGAGTTCCGATCTCCCCCATTTTTGCTAGGACCACCACTGCTGGGCTGGCC